AAAAGAGTGAATGTTCAGTTTGTGGTTATAATTTATTCTCGAGTTGATAATAATAATTTTCTCAATTCTCTAACTTCTAAGTTCATTACTAATTCATGATAAGAATACTTTTACATGAGTAAGTAAACAGACGATGAAATTATTGTTTCATCAAGAGTATTGAAAAGGAAATGAAACAATAATAATAATTCTGATTCATGTAACTATGAATGATAAAGATGATTTTTTGTTCTCTCTCTTTTTTAGATTCTAACTGAATCTCTAATGAATGAATTTTTCATTTTCTTCATTCAATAAGATTCAAGGATTGATTATTCTGTTTTTTTTTCTTGCTAGTTTTTCACTGAATTACCATGAATAACACTCTCAGAATTTTCCATCTTTCTTTTCATTATATTATTCATGGTCATCATCATTATCATCATCATGCTGTTTCAGCATCGATAAGCTTTCAAAATGATTTCTCAATTCATCATGAATTAATGTTCAAAATCATCTTTCTGACTCTTTGTTCATCATTATCATCATCACAATCATGTTGATGATCATCATGCTCTTTATCCCTTTTCAGCATCTCTCTCTCTCTCTCTCTCTCTCTCTCTCTCTCTCTCTCTCTCTCTCTAGATATAATCTTTTTCTCAATGTGTTGTGACCTTCTTAAGTGAAAAATTTTGATCCATTAATAAGGAAATGATAAGATGAGTGCTGAAAGATGCTGAATAATCCATAATGGATGCTCAGAACTTTTTCCCAAATCTTATTCTTAAAATACTTAACTCTCATTGTTATGATTATCCATCTGATGAAACGATTATCGATTTTATTTGTTAACTATAACCATTATCACCTTGATAATAACTTTCTCCTTTAATTTATTCATCACAAGCCATCATGATGATTATTTATATCAGATTAGAATCGATAACATTCATTTCCTATTATTTTTCTCATGAATCAAATAGAAGAAAAAAACTGACACCAATTGTAAATCTCACTTTGAATCTGATCAGAAATGCGATTAATTACTCAAAACTCTATGGATCTATAACAATAATAATAATACCTCATGATTATTGAAATACTCTGAAATATCAATAGTTTTTCATTCATTATTCAAACAGAACTTATAGATTTTTTTGCCCAGCTCAATTCACGATCAACAATCATTAGATATGCAAATGGACACTTGATGATAACATTATCAATATTTCACTCGGGAAAAATAACCAGAGTAAAAATAACTAGTAAATAAAAGGATTATCAAAATACCAAGTGACAGAATTACTTAGATGATGAATATCAATAATATTGATGATGAAAGAGGAATAAAAAAAACTTAAGGTGGAATTACAGTTCTATCCAAGATAAATGTTATCAGGTATCTTAATACTTTTGATATTGATGCTAATGGTTTCGACCATTAGTAAATCAAGTCTCAGCTCCAATGGTCATTAAAAGGATGATCTTGATCTATTTATTTGTTAGCGACAAACTTTTTCGATATCATTTTACATTAACAATAAAAAAACGAATACCCTGTGAATACATATTTATATATAAATTACTGTCCATCGGTTGATGTTACATGAACGACAAGGATTTTTTGTTGTTCGAAGAAAAAAAAAATATAAAAAAAAGTTCAAGAAGTTAAAACGTTTTGACAACATACATTTAAAGACTATGAGTTTAAACTTTGTAATCCATGTTTATCCACCATGAAGATATCATTATTATTATCATGATTTATATATGAACAATTTGTTGTATGAAAGTAAAAAAAAACAACATTGATCTAGACTGAAAATTTCATTACGATATTATTAATAGGACATTTTATCGACTCGTTATAAACTGGAATCGATAAATGATCTATTAAGGTCAGTTATTGGTCAAAAATGGTTGTAAGAGATTGAATCTTATCATTTTTTTTTCTTTTCCTTATCAATTTCCTCAGTTTCAAGGTGAATGAAAATTTCATGATACATGGAATGAGTATCATGGTCTGGAAATGAGATCAAGTTGAATATCAACAGGGAATTGTGAAGAAAAGTTCAGACAGAGATGAGTTGATGTGAAGGTTTCCAGAGATGAACCTTGGAAACAATTAATTTGAAAGCATTTCTCTTAAAAGGTGAAGAGAGAACTTGAAGATTTTCATTTAGTATTGTTACTAAAAGTTGAGAATCATGTTCAACCCATGGAAATCCATGTGTTGATCCAAAGATTTGCATGGATAAAACTTGAAACGATTTATTTAAACTCTCATGATAATCATTCTTCTAATAACAAGTAAGCATTTCATTCAATTGGTTAATGGTGATATTGATACAATTTATTAGCTCTCTATTCATTTAGATAATCATTTATCATTAATACACCATCATGATATTATTGGGGATGGAAACAGTTATAAAATATTTACCTTATACAAATGGTGTTATCATTTTCTCATTATCTTTTCAGTGGGAATATTATCTGGGTCAATAATCACCAGGGACTATTATTTTATTTCAGAGACTCGAGTGAATATCACAACTTTTTGTTCAACTTTTTTTTTCTTCTTCTTCTTTTCCTTACTCATCATCATCATGATCATCAACATGTGCATAAGAAAATGCTATTGTTTGAAAGATAATACATCGGAAAAGGGGATAAGGGAAATGCGGAAGAAGATGTGACAGAATGAGAAGAAGAAGAAGAAAAAAACAAAACAGGAAACTTAAAATTCTGTTCAGAACTTTCAACATAATAACATGTTAACCAAATGGAACCAACATTCAGTTAACAATTACCATGAATATTATTACGATTACTATTGAGAAGAAGTTGATTCATTTCTTATTATATTGTTATCATCTATTGTGTATTCATTATCTTCACTTTTTGTTCCCATGTTTCACATTTTCAAGAAAAGAAGAAGAAAAAAAATTTTCTAATTGACTCATATGAAGAGAAACGATTTCCATGACGATAAAGTAATTTTCATGCATCAACACAGATTCTCATTCATTCAGAAGGTATTTCTCATTGTTCACTGTTCATCATTAGTATTTCATCATGGAATATCATTACCATGAATTATTTTGTCAAACTTTATGCAAACCCAATGATTAACATTGATAATCATACAATCTAATTGTATTCAATTGTATCATCTCACTCGGAATGATTACCTTGTAACCATTTTCTTTCACCTCATCATTATCATCATCACCCTAAAAAAAGAGAGATGATAAAGTTAAATCTCAATGAATCTCATCACCATGTACACATGATGATGATTAGAGGAGGAAGAAGACGAAAAAAAGTTCATCGTCATCTACTAATCAGATTATTATTATTATTATTATAATTTTTATTCTTCCAAATTCTCTGAATTCTGAGCACACACACACATTTGGAAACGTTAATTAACGTCCCTGTAATTAATTTAATTGCTCAATATAACACTTCAATCCTACTCTTGAAACATTTTCTATTTATCTGCATCATTGAGTCTCTTCATCATCAGAATGAATAAAAAAAACAGGATGAAACTTTTCAACTCGTCAGATTATATCCATTTAATTACGATAATAATAATAGTCGTTGTACTTGAAATTCCCATGGTGAATTTTAGAGAGAGAGAAATAGATAGAGAATCGATATGGTGAAAGAGGAAAACATGGTAAAGAGAAAGAAAAAAAGTTCCAACATTCAGAATGACAATTTTTCTCGTTGTTTCTTTTACTTTTTCTGTCTTTCTTTTTTTTCTGACAGAAAATTTCAATTCCAATCCACCAGAGATTCAGATTAACATATTACCTTTACAATCATACTCATTAGCTCATCAAGTGAGTCAACCTTTAAGTAACCATCATGTAATATCTCATGTAAAGATGCTGAGTAATTTTCTGAATAAGAAGAGAACAAGAAAAATCATAAAGTTCACAATGAGCTTGAAACAGATTAACTTGAATATTTAATTAATTTACAGTTATAATCTGAAGAAGTGGAAATGATTTAATATTAAAAAACATAATTTTAATCGGATTAAATTCACTATTTGTATTAACACATAATCTTGAATTTGTTTCAACGTCAATAAAATTTTCATCATATTGTCACACCTCTGAGTTTATCATGGAAACATTAATATGCATGATGAGAAAGTAAAAAAAAAAGTTCTCAACATGAGTATTAATTCAATTGTCTTGATTATTTATTTAACTGTTTAATATAAGTCAAGATCAATAGCAGCCATGAGTTAATCAATCATTCCCGATAATCAACTGAACATAGTTTTGTTTTTTTCTTATTTATTCTTGAGATACTCATAATCACCATGATAATCAACCGATTCGGTTTGATAAACATCATCACCATGAATTAGAAAGGCGTGAAAATGATTTCAACAACAGATTCCTGAGAATCCATCTCATCATGATTGATATCTCAATATTGAACAATGAACTTTTCTCTCTCTCTCTCTCTCTCTCTTCGTTTCATGATATTATTAGATGACGATAATATTGATTCCATATTACGATTTTTTCCTTTCATCGATTTACTTTAAAGTTTCAGTGGAACTTTTTTCCCCCTGAAAAAAAGGTATCATTGAGTTGAACTTTTAAATAACTTTATTCCATGAAGATTGAATCTCAGAACTTTCTAATTAACATGAGAAAATATTTGGAATATTCATTCAAGTCAATGAATTGAATGTCAAAAGGTTGAAATGGTAAATGGATACACTTAAGAGGAGTTTAAGAACTTGATGAAAAAAATATGAATTCTTTGAGTAAGACAAATTTTATACTCTCCATGTAACTCAGTATATATCAATTAATTTATTCTGTAATTATATCAAGTCAAGAATTTGATAACATGAGAAATAAGTTGATTGGGAATAAAATTCTTTAATTATTATGAAATAATCTGCGCAATTGTTGAATAAAAGATGAATTCAATTCTCAATCGTTTCATTTACTTTTTTTTTATATCTTACTTTTTACTATCAGAATCTCATGAATATTATTGAACTTTGACTGAATCATAGAATCATTGATTTCATGGTGATAATCTCTGATTTCATGTGGAAATATTAATTATGGATCCAAGTAAACTAAATTTAACTCCAATCCAATCGATTGAAGGATTCAATGAGTTTGATAATATTTACGGTTCAATATTGGATAAAAGTAATACTTCAAATCCTCATGAACTTCCAGATCTATTGGGTGAGTAATTTAATTGTTCTCTCTCTCTCTTTTAATTTCATTCTCACTGAGTTTGTATTCATTTGCTGATTCAATCTCTCCCTTGATAATAGATGGAAATGAAACAGATAGTTTCAAGATCATTGTTAAAAAAAGGATGGAGGAGTTTAAGGTTAACCGAGCCATCGATCAGGAAGCGTTAATTGGGTTAATGATTAGTTATATCCTGTTAATTGCTATCGGAACAATTGGAAATGGGCTGGTTTGTATTGCTGTTATTCGTAAACCCTCAATGAGGACACCGAGAAACCTTTTTATCATCAATCTTGCCATTTCCGATCTAACACTTTGCCTCATAACGATGCCTTTCTCATTCATTGAAATTGCTGCCAAATTTTGGTCTCTCGGTAAGGAAAATGCTAATATCCAACATGTAGTAATATTATCAAGAAAAACAACAACGACAACAATTACTGATATCATAATATTGATCATCGATAACATAAATTGATCCAATTAGAACTTAACTTAGAAAGTTAATGTAATTAATGAAATTAACTTTGTGAAACAATTTAACTTATTCGCTTACCCAAGTTGATTAATTGGTTTACAATTGAATTCAGTTATCTACTATTCATTAATAATAGTTACCCAATCAAAGTTTATTTATAACAATAAAATCATTCAATGTGCTTGTTAAGTGTTAATTCAATTATCACTCAAGTGATTAAGTGATTATTTTGTTTTCCATCTAATTCAGTCAGATCCAGAGCTTTTTACAACGTAATTGATTAACTTTCCTTGTTTTTACTCATTATTGTTCATCTAACTTATCATCTCTCATTTTTCAACTTATCGTTTCTCTCATAGGATTATTTACCTGTAAACTATCAGCAGGATTGGAAGCGACATCTATATTTGTCTCGACAATGTCCATAACAGCGATAGCTTTAGATCGTTATTTTGTGATAATCCGACCGACTCCGGAAACACCGAAAATAACTCAAACCATTTATGGCCTTCTATCGATCTGGATAGCAGCTCTAATCTTATCGATACCACTTTTCTGGTGTCGAACCACCGTTAAGATCATTTTACCTCCAATATTGTCTTCCGGTATTTATCCAACCAAGAGAACTTGGAATTTGTTTATAAAACTTTCTGAATGATTTTCTTTTTTTTTCTTTTATTTTCTCCATGATGTTCATCTCAAATCATTGGTTAATTTGGTCATCAACTTGAAGCTGATCTTTCAAAAGAAAATTTTGAATATTGTTACGAGGAATGGCCAATCAATAAGGGACGAGCTATTTATTCAGTGTTTACAATTATTCTTCAGTATTTTGTCCCGACAATTCTGGTAACTTTAATCTACATGAAAATCTACAAGAAATTAAAAAATCGAATGTCACAAAAAAGAACAGCAATCAAATTAGATGAAAGGATTAAAGCTGAGGAGAGAAGAACCAAAAGAACCAATTATCTATTAATCTCTGTTAGCTTAATCTTCGGGATTAGCTGGCTACCGCTCAATATTTTAAATATAATCTCTGATTTATATTATCCATTTGAAGATGCTTCAACTTTTAGAATTGTTTTCGCCTGTTGTCACATGGTTGGAATGAGTTCTGCCTGTTTCAATCCACTTCTCTATGGATGGCTTAATGATAATTTTCAGAAAGAGTTTAAAGAAATTTTCTCTCTAATAATGAATAAGATTAGTTGGTTTTGCTCAAAGAAAACTTCAGTTCTAACAAATCAAACCTTGGGTGATAAAAAGATTGAAACAACTGTAGTTTTCCGAGAGCAAATCACCGAGACAACTAATCATCAAAATTCACAAAGTCGTCGAAATACAATCGAAGGTGATAAAAGTAATTCTCATTTCAATCCAACTAAAACTGAATCTACAATTGTCTGTGGTTCCTTTGCCAATGGTAATCCAAAGAAATCCTTAATTGTTAAACAAGTCTAATTTCAAATAATTGCCAATAATTGAATACAATAGTTGTAAATATAAGATTAATAATAAATATTATCTGTAAATATCATAATAATAAGTTGATTAAAGTTAAATTGTGACTGAACAGATATTCAATTCCTTCTTGATAGATGGTGCCACTTTCTTATATTAATAAGTTCATAAAGTTTCATAAAGGTTGATTGGATTTATGGTTTTCTTAAGGCCAATATGATTCTGACCATCTAATGCCCATGTAAATATGACAATTGAGTATCACTTAAACTCATATAACTCGAGTCTGAGGTCTGAATATTTCAAGACAGAAATTTATTCATGACAAAACTTATTGGAAACTTGACAAAATACTCTTTACTTAATAAAAGGATGTTTCTGGATTCGGTGGTCTCCGAATTGAATAAATCTATTCATGTTACATTAAGGATATGAAAGAAATGAAACAAGGTTAATTGGTATTCAACAATTAACTTTATCACAATTAAACAATTTCTTCACCATTGTTTTATAATTACATAGGGATCATAATTTAGGCAAACATGTCAACTGATTATGTATTAGGTAATGTAAATTTAATTTACGTAAACAACAATTAACTAACGATACATAATAGATGAAAAACTCCCAACAACGTATTTAATTAATCAACAATTAATCCAAGATTAATTTGATAAAATTCCTAATGAACAATAATAAACCAAATAACTAATACAAACTAATCTGAAGAGACATTGAAAATATGATAAGATAAAGATAATTGTTAAATTAATATTATTATTCAATGAGAATTAGACTAATTAAAGAGATTGATTCGATTATAAATTAACTGTCACAACTGATTGTTACGATTTAGATTCATTATCATGATAAATTGTGTAATGATTTTATAGTGCTAATTGATACATTTACATGAATATATAAGAATGAGCAGAATCATTGATCAAGTTAATAAACAAACCAACGAGCTGAATTAATTATAAAGTGTCAATTGCTAATAATACATTTAAATTGTCCAACTTTTATCCAAGAGGAAACAAAGTTAATTATGTTTCAATTAGTATTTACCTGTGTTTTATTGTCTTTTGTTGGTGTTTCATTTGGTGATCATCATGATCGTCCAGGTAAATACTTGGCTCACGACCGGACAGTGGTCAATTGTGCTAAATACAAGCGAGAAGCTAATCAACACTCGTGCGTCCTTTCAGCTTTCAACACTGAAGGACCTTATTTCTTACCTGATGATTTAGAGCGATCTAATTTAGCTGATGATCAAATTGGTATTCCATTCAATTTAACAATCCAATTAGTTAATTCCAATGATTGTAATCCATTGAGTAACATGTATGTTCACATTTGGCATGCAAATGCCATGGGTATGTATTCGGGAGTAGATAATGGTGATCAAACTGGTGAGGGGTCGAAAAATTTGGACAAACTTGACCATGGAGGACCAGGTAATCCAGGGTTTCTACGAGGTCGACCAACTCCAATCAATAAGTCACGATTCGGTCGAGGTTATCAGGTGACCGATGCCAATGGTCAAGTTCATTTCAAGACAATTATGCCTGGTTGGTATACTGGTCGGTGTTTACATGTTCATGTTGAAGTTTATCCTCAAGATACAACCTCCGGAAGTGACCTACTATATGTTGGTCAACTTTTCTTCCACCGTGAATTACCCTATGAACTTAAACTGGTTGACCCTTATTCACAGAACAACCAATTTTTAGTTCTTAATGAAAACGATGGTATTTACATTAATCATGGTAACGAAACTGTTCTTGATCTAATCGCCCATGGAAATAGTTTCAAAACTTCAATCACTTTGGGCATTAATCCAGATACTTTGAAATAGGTTTTCAATTTCAATACTAATCCAATGAATTCCTAACACTCATAACAATTAACTTGATGTAATCTCCAATAACCGGGATTTTATATTTTTTGAACTTTCGAACATTAATAATAAACTTATTCCACCGATTACATTTAGTAATTTATCATATTAATTGATATACTTTTCTCAATTTATTCAATACTTTCAATTTTGATTTGATATCAATTTTTGTGGCCAATCAATCTGGTCAATTGTTATGATTAAGAAACAAAAAAACTCACGATCACTAATAATTTACATTCAAATTGCTAACATTAGCTTGTTTCTTGAGCGTTTAAAAGAAGATTCACTTCTCTTTGCCTTAATAGCTATTCCATCTCTTGTTGTAATTGAGGGTGATGGTGTTAGGATCAATCTTTATCGTGCTTCAGTCCCTCGTTTACACGAATTATTGAGAAGTCGAAGCTACATCGATTTACCAATACAACGTGAACCTGTTGATAGTTTGGAGGTGTTTTTTTATAGACCAGAAACCGATCACGATGCTACTGATAAACAAATTTGTGACCTTCTTGCTGATTCATTTGGTTACCCAATTGAGAATTTCAACTATAAAGAAAGTTTAGTATACGGTCGGAAGACCTTAATTGTTTTGGTTGTGACAAGAGAGGTGGTGAGATATCTCTTGAAGTCAAGTAAGTAGAATAAAAATTGTCTTATTAAATTTTAATTCTTTATCTCTTTTTAATTATTGTGTTCAAAGGGAAATTTTAATTTGTTCAAGTTCTAATTTTTCTGTTACATTTTCTTTTGATTATTGTTTCTAATTAAGAAATGAAGGGAAGTTTGGATGAGAAAGATCTTATTCAATCATGTGGATGTTTACCATTGTTGGACCTGCAAAGGTCGTTTCCCCACCGGTCACGATTGTGGAGCAGTAAGATTATGTCACTTATGTGGAAGCCCTGGCCATATTGGAAATTGTCCAAGAGCTTTAATCAATATTTGTTGCATGACTTTTGGCTTGCTTTATGAGCGATGACCACCAGGTTGTCCCATGTTGATGAAAAAGATCATTCGTAAACTGGGCAACACAGACAATTTCAATGAGGTGTACATTGGTTTGCAGACATATTAAATTAACAAGGTAACTATGCATTCTGTTGATAATATAAAGAGGAATGTTTATCTATGATAATAATAAAATTATTTTCTGTTTTCAGGTCACAGTGATTTATTTGGTGGAAATTCGGCATTTCACTAATCTCGAATTGATTTTCGAAAAGGAATTCCATTAACCTCATTTGTCTTAAAAAGTTGGATTTGTTAATTCGTACTGCCACTTTACAAACTTGGTCATCCACTCTAATAAAAAATCTCTGGTTTGGAACAATGGAAGATCATCCGCATCACCACCAAGAACAAGAAAGATTTCATGCTTAATAATTGATATAATAATTTTTTCATTGTAATAAATCATAATTATCCGTATTCTTAAAAGACTTGAAATTCATTCTTAACTAAAAGTTTCAACCGAACCCAAAAGAAAAGTTAACAAAAACACCTCCACCAACACCAGCAACATTATCGGCGTTTCCTTCGCCACCAGCGACTCCATCACATCAGCCATCAACACCCGTGATCCCGTCACCACCGACTCAAGTGACTCCATCACCACGAACCCCTCAAGTGATCTTATTTTTGGCCTTATCGACCTCGAAGCGAAGAGGACGATTTTAAAATTCCTCTCTCCATTCCTGATCCAGAATTCACTGTTGAATTAAGTTCTGACCATGAGTTCACCTTCATACTCATGGTCAGAATCAGACGAAGAAGGCGAGAGGGAAAATTTTGTCTCCTCGAAGAGGAAAAGAGATGATGATGACGATTTTTGGCTCCTCAAATAAATGAATTTGATTAATTTTAGTTTTTAATAATTCTTTAATTCGGGGTAGCATGATGTGACTCCTCCTCTTTCACGTCATGGTACATATCTACTACTCTTCAGAAATATCATTCTGTGAATAACTTAAACCGGACAATCCATTGACATCGAAAACCCTTTTGAAAAGTTCAGTGTCTCTCGAACAACTATAATCTATCTTTATTAAAATGTTGCGTCCAATTGGAATAATCATTCGGCCGGCATGCTTTTTATTTGATGGGACTGTAAAGGACCAATACACTGGGAACTTCTCGAACCTGGTCAAACAGTAACAGGTCAACTTTACTGTGAATAATTGACCAGAGTTCAGGTCGAATTAATCAAAAAACGTCCAGCGCTGGTCAATAGAAAAAATGTTTTTTATCTTCATGATAATACTCGTCCTCACATTGCTTCAACCACCCGACAAAAAATTTTGGACCTAAATTGGACTTTATTAACTCATCCACCTTACTCTCCTGACCTTGCTCAGTCTGATTATCACCTTTTCAGGTCAATTGAACATTTTTTCAATGGGAAAAAGTTCGATAATCGAGTCGATGTTGAAAACGCGTTTCAATCTTATTTGGCCTCGAAAACGCAGGCCTTTTATTCAAAAGGTATTTTTGATCTACCAAATAGATGGAAAAAAGCTATTGCTTCAAATGGTGATTATTTCGTTGATTGAATTAGGCGTTTATTTAAATAAAATTGATTGTAAAACAACAATCAAATTTCTTGCAAAACTTTCTGATCATCCTAATATTATCTCTTGGTTATCACCTTTTTGGAACTTATTCAATAAGATAAAGGATGACCTTCGAACTGATCTGATCGCCGACCTCGGGTTGTAAGATCTCAAGATGCTCTATTGGTTGGTTTCAGATTTTGTCTAGAGTTAACCGTTACACTCTTTAGAACATGGGTCTAATTATGGATTTAAATTCAATTGAAAAAAAGCTACCTGTAAATCCCACTGAGATTACATTGAAATGGTAAACCAGAATTTCAATTGATTATATTCAGGAAAATCATCATGACTTGCGCATATGAGTAAATCTCCTGGTACATCGATTGAGTTATAACATTTATCGCTTTCCAACTGAAACCTGAAGAATTATCAGTTCTGATGAAAAGAATGCTAAAAAAAGAATTCGAATCCATTGAGATATTTTCTGTTGATTAATTAGTCATTTTATATTCTGTGTAAAAATTAAAATAATATTGTAATCAAATCACTTGATGGATCCCACAATCTATGTAATATTAATGAGTGAATTTTTTGATAATAAAGTGAAACAATCAATATTTTATCAGTGTTCCAATCCATGATTTCTGGATAATAACTTGTTGCTTTTACGTTACACGAATTTAATTGTTTGAAAAACTTTTCTTAAATTGTGATTAGTTGATGATTAAAGTTAATCAGTGCAACACATTGTGAAACATATTGTAATTACAATAATGTCATGGTTGTTTTTAATTTATAGTTCATATACAAGTTTACAATCAAATGAAATTAATTATGAAATTGATTACAATACTTCAGAGATACTCAATGAAATTGCTGATGATCCAGCTAATTGTAGTAATACAATTAACAATAATAGTAATAATAATAACAATAATAACAATAATAATAACGGACTGTCTCTCATTTCAAGTGAAACAATACCAATTGAAGGTAATTAACTTTAATTCCTCTAAATTAATCCAATATGAGTAAACAATTAAATTAGCAAGTCTTAGATCTGAACCTGAATTGTTACAATAAATTAAGCTTGTAATTAGTAGCAAATGAACTAGATTAACCTGTGTGATTGTGTGATTCAATTAAATTGTTTCAAGATAATATGATGAACTTGTATTTGAGTATTAGATGAGATTTAATTAAATGTGTTAATCGTACATCTATTGCAAAATCACAATTAACTAATCAATGATCCTAAGATTTAATTGTTTCTCAACTGTGATTAGATTTTTTTTTCATTTTCATCATTTGAAAAATTGAGATGAAATTAATTTTATCTAACATGAAAGGTTATTGATTGAATTGATACAAAATCAGTTAAACATTAATCAATTTACTCAAGTACAATCAATTGAATTGTTTCAATTTTGATAAGAAGATTAAATTTACAATCAATATATTTTCAAAATGATTATTGTTAACAATTGAGTTTATCAAATTGTGAAAAAAAAGTTGAACTTTTCACTTGACCAGAAAAAAAAGTGTTTCAAATGATTGACTTGATTGTAACAATTGATTAAATTGTAAAGTCACTTACAATCAAATCTAATTACCTTTCCTCTCAATGTGACGATAATAATCAACTTAATCAACATACACAATGTACAAATTGTTAATCAACGTTGAACCGGAAACATTTAACCCACAATTAAATTAACCATTTCTGACCTTTTCTAACAGTTGAAACAGTTACAGTTAATCATCATAACTAATAATTTACATTGAAAATCTATTAATAATAGTTAACCTTGAATGTGATTTAATTGTTATCCTAAACAGTTGATGGTAAAATATATTGTTCACCAACATGGGATCGGATCTCTTGTTGGCCTTTGACCCTCGCCAATGACATTGCTGTGATTCCTTGTTTTGCTGAATTAAATGAAGTACCTTATGATACCAATCGTAAGTAAAAAACAACAATTAACTAATTGTCTCGATAATTTTGAGCAAAGAAAAAAAATTTACCAAAAAAAAAATGAGAATTCTCAATCTGAATAATGTCTTGAGAACGAACTTTTTTTTTAATTAACATTATTTCATCTGATCAATAATGACACTTTGTAATTAACTTGATTTGATTTTATACCAAAATCTACATTATTATCAACTAATTTATTATTAGTTTAATCATGATTTACTCAAGCAACTTTATTTGATTATGTCAAAATCAAATATCAAATGTTTACTTTGATTCTTGAGCTTTAAGCATTTGATTAGTGAACAATCAACCAGATAAGCAGAAAAAGATAATTAACTGATTGATTATTGTAATTTTTTCTTCTCCATAATCAACCTGACTAATTAATCGTATTGTTTGCTAATTATTTCAATTTTTAATTCCATAAAGAAAATGCTACTCGAATGTGTCTTCCGAACGGTTTTTGGGCTGGAAAATCTGATTACACCAAATGTAAAGCACTGACTCAAGAAATTACCCAAAATTTTAACGTAAGTTAATTGCTGATCAGTGTTGGTCAATCTAAACCGTAACCGATTCAATTGTTTACATATTAATCAGTATGACCTTGTTAATGTTTACTAATCAATTAATCTGATTGGTGTCTATTTGGTCCATTCTTTTAATAGGAAATCACTGATCTTTCCGATGCTTCAGTTGTGTATTATTTTGGTTATGGATTATCAATCGTAGCTCTGTTCATTGCCTTGGGGATATTACTAACCTTTAAGTATGTATACATATGATAATAATCCACAGAATCATCAGAATTATCTTATCTTCAATTCTGAGAGAGTGTAAATAAAAACTGATACTTGTTCATTGTTTATTCAATTTTCTCTGAACATTTGATGAATACAATCAACTAAAGATAGAAAACTTTCCGGGCAAAGAGAAATTATATTTTCTTTTTCAATTACATTTCTAGAATATATCGAATTGCATTCATCGAATTTCATATTTATCTAAATTATTTCCGTCAGAGAACCATGGAAAGATCCAAACAGACAATTCATTAGATGAGATAAAACTTGGGAGATTTTCTTATGATCCTTGATTAAGTTTAACAACTAATCAGTTAGTAATCAAGCTAATTCTGTTATTGATTCACCTTTTTTCACTAATTGGCTGAGTTTTTATCTACATGAACAGAATGAATTCTGAATAAGTAATGAGTTCGGCCTCCTGTTGATTAATAAATGAAATGGTAAATAAAATTCAGGCGATAAACCTTGAAAGAATTTAGAATAGTGATATTAATAGAAGAAAAAGAAAACAATTAGAGTTCGAATTTTAGTCGTAGAACTTTTCGATTTAATGATTAGAGAACGAAAATCAAAGTGATAAAGATAAATAGTCAGAACATAGAACTAAGTGAATTCTATTGATAAAACGACACTTGGTGAAGAATGAAAAAAGCAAAAGGATTGAGCGTTCATAGAAGATGCAAATGAATCTAAGATAATAATATACAAGAGAATATAAAATTTTCTTAGAATATTCGAGTTCCTTTCTGAACAATTACCATTTCTCATGAGAATATTATTTTTTCTCAATTCGATTTGAAACCAGAACTTTACCTTTCTCTTGTCCTCTCACTTTTTATTCAATTAATTTCTACCTTCCTTTCTAATCTCTATCATCACTTTCACTCATTATATTTTATCTTCCTTATTCTCCTCATCTTTACCATGAACATTAACCTTGTTTACTAGAGACTTACGATGTATTCGGAATACAATACATATAAATCTCATGTTATCTTACATGTTTCACGCTCTAACATGGATCGCAACTGCTACACTTCAGGATAATTCTTTGGTTGCTGCTTACAAGGTAAATGATTTAATCAGATTAAGATTCATCCAATTATCTAATCTCGTTTTATCATGTCAATTATTTGGGTTAATTATAGTTACTATCACTTTGATTGATATTTTGATGAGCAGAAATTTACTCTCTCTTTCTCTCTCTCTCTCTCTCTATTTCGTCATCTCTTGTCATTCAATTTGATCAACCAATTGATACCTTTCACCATTGAATTAACTTGTAATCAAGTGACCATAAAGTGACATGTAACATTAATACAATCTAATTATAATCATCACTTTCACTATTTAGCAACTTAACTTGTTGTTGAATGATTCCATAATCATCATAAAATTATCTTCATTACTCTCAGGGATTTATCATGATAACATCTCCATGGTGAGAGGAGGAAAGAAAAACTAAAATATCACTATTAGAGGAAAACTTATCAGAAAGTTTAGTTTTTGTTTATTTTTCTTTTCCATGGACAATTCAATAGTTTAATTCGTGAAAATTGACAGTCAGGAAATGAACAATTCCCAAAACTTTTTACCTCATTCATACATAACGCTAAACTTTACCATAGAAAATTTTAATTTAGCATTTTCCTTGGAAATCAATGTGATTTGAGCCTTTTAACCATCGAAATTTGATTAAAAGATTGATTCGATGTATATTACATGAGATATTTTGATTGATTACTCTGAGAAATAAATTGAATTACTTGTCCTTTGAGTGAGTCTGCACAAAGGTCAATCAAATAAGCAATTACAAAATTTAAGTTTTCACCATTGAGCTTTAATATGGATTAGTTAAAGTCCATTTTTATTGAGCAAATAAAACGAGATACCCTTGATAACAATGTAACTATTTGGAAATATTTTTCAGGGTAACAGGGTAAATATTAGTTGAATCAGAATCAAAATTTGAAAAAGTTTCGCAATATAAATGATAATCTGAAGACACATAACCATCTACCTTATCCTTGCCACAAGTACAACAAGTTGCATGATCATTATCATCTTGATTCTCATCATTATTTACCTGTTGTTGATTGGATAATAAAAGAGAAACGAAATCTTATCATCATTCAGAAAAAAATAAGAGAATAATAATAGACTTCCATAGCCAATGTCTATTGGCATGCTCTTCGTGTGGATCGTTGTTAAAACTTGACCATTACCTTGACCAGTGCAAGAATCTGATTAACTATAAGAGCTCTCAACTTTAATTTTGTTTAATCTTTTTCGTTTTCTTTCTCTGTTCAGATTTCATTTCATGGTGTCTGTTTCTTGTACATCCTTTTAACCTATTTCACAGCGACCAGTTTTTTCTGGATGTTCTTGGAAGGACTTTATTTGTACATACTTGTGGTTCGAACCTTCAGCATCGAAAGAATCAACGTAATCCTATTCTCACTCATAGGTTGGGGTGAGTCTTTAATTTCCCACTTTTTATCCACCTACGAACCTTCAATTTCATCAAAGATTATATATTATACTTTTGGATCTTATTCATGAAAAGTTCTGACTCTCAATCTTTATCTCTCTCTCTCTCTCTCTCTCTCTCTCTCTCTCGTCTCACTTTCTCTTCACTTCTCTCATCTGATTCCGATTCTTTTATTAGGTGTTTCTTTCATTCTTCTTTTTTTATTTTTCTCTAATATTTCCTATTCTTCATGTTCTTCCTTCCATGTCATGATTATCTGGATAACATATAATTCATTCCAAGTTTCCTGTTACTTTCTCATTATCTTTTTCTGATAATCTTTAACTCTTTGTTCAAAGAAAAAGAGAAAAATCCTTTTTTGTTATTGCACAATAATGAGTGAATATTATGAAACTATGATCATTATCATGATGAACGAAATGATAATTCATGTGTATTAGCAAATCACCAAAAGTATTTCAATTGATTAACACCAAGTTGATTAACTATCTGGTTCGAATCCAATATATTTTCATGATTTATCAACAGGTAGTTTCAACAATTAACTTGTCAGCACATCAGTTTGTTGTGTTCTATTGGGAAAAGGTAACAATTTTATCAGAATAAATCACAAATCTAATCAACATTTTCACGATCAATAATCATTGGTAATTCATTACGAAATTTTTAAATCATGATCAGTTCAAGCATGGAAATATCAACAATGTTTTGTTTTCACAACAATTAAACTCTAAATTGCAAGTAACAAGGAGACACAATTAAAGGACAATTGATTGTCAATTCCTAAGATAATTATTTCTCATTATATCAACGATTGACTTTTCTCTTGATTATATTGCAACAATTAAACAAAGAGATAAAGGTATTCAACAATTAGCCATTAATTAAATTGCGTATCCAAGTGAATCAATGACGCATCTCTTAAACATCTTGAACATAATTTAATTAAATTGTTTTAACGTTTAATCAATAAGCTAATCATGTGGTTAAGATTAACTGATATGATTAACTTTTGTATGGTTAAGATTAAAAATGATCAACCTAATTGTTTAATGCTACAGATAGAGATGATTAGTCCAAGTGTATTGATCATCGTACCCATTAAATGATTAAACTAATATGATATCTGGAGGATTAAAGGTTAATCAGTAGATTATGGATCAATAAAAGACTAAATCAATTTCCCTAATTTCAACAGTTAATCATACAAACAAGTGAAACAATTAACCTTACCCATTTGAACAATTAAAGTCTATCTAATGAGTAACTTGATTTCTACCAAAAATTGAAAATTAATTCATTAAATTATCGTAAATTGTAAATCTCAAATATCTAAATTGTTGAGAAATCAAATTTCACAACTTTCTCCCAATTCTCATGAGTGATTCATTTGGAACTTTCTCCTTGCCTCTCTTCATGATAATTCAACATTTATCTCCCTTTCTCTTCATGAATTTCATAATTCTGAGCTCATGAATCTAATACTTGTTTCCCTCAATTGATCAATCAAGTGTTTGATATTGATTGATGGCTAACAATTTATCTCAAATAGATGAGAGTAAAAAAAAATTCATCAAAAGATTAACGTTAATTGTTGTTGATTGTTTTCACTTTTTCTGGTTCATTTTTGTTTTAGGTTTTCCAGCTATTCTGGTCACTCTCTGGTCACCAATAAAATACCTGTACCCAAACCAGGAAGATGAAGACTCAATACCAGTGACATCAAAAAGGTAAACCAAATGATGCGAAATATTATTGACAAATTTGATCTTCATCATGGTGATGATAATTTTTTTTTTCATCTATTCCTCAACAGTTTCAATTGTCCATGGCAGGTAATTAATATTATCGACCTGATCTACATTTGTCCAATATATATTGTCCTATTAGTGAGTATCAGTATTGATCATTGAAACTTTGTACTTCTACTGACCACAAACTATTTATAACCTTTGACCAGGTAAACCTATTCTTCCTTGGTGTTGTTATCTACGTTCTGGTGACCAAAACAAGAGCCTCAGAAACTTCACAAGAATTTCAACAATATCGGTAAATATAAATACGATAGAACCTTTTTCAACATTGTTATTGTCAACTAATTGTTTGATCAACAATGTATTCATTTTGATATTAAATCTGATGATTTATTGTTTATCAACGATGATAGTGAAACTCAATTTACTGATCATAATCAACTATTTATATGTATAATCATCATGTTTACCTAGAGATTAAATTTGATTCAGTTGATCGCAATGAGTTTATTAATATTATGTTGATGATCAATTGTGTCTTTTAATTATGAATGAAACAAAAAAGTCTCCAGGTGATCATGAATGATGAATTTAATTTCATGATAATTAGTTAGTTTCTTCAGAGATCAATGTTGGCTACAGTAATTGAGATAATTGTGAGGAAACAAATGAATCAATACTAATCCTGATTGTGTGATAATCTCAATTGTAAAATTCTGGTTTCAATGTTTATCTTTCATCTCAATTCCCTTCTCATCTCATGTTACTGAACTTTTTTTTTCTCTATCATTTGTATTCCTTCAATTCTGTTTACGTCCTTTTCCTGGTTTTAGTTTTTTTTCCTTCGTCGATTTCAAATGATAAACAATCAATTGAAGGAAAGATTTGACTTGAGATTATGTCTAATTTTAGGTGATTTAATAAGAGGATTAGGATTAGACTGATAAACAACTAATTGTTATTCAAGTGATTACTTCAATCCGAGATAATCTGGTGAAATTTGATTCCCTATTTACTGTCTAAATTAAATTTTAATCTCCATTGACACAAATATCAATAGTTCCCTATTCTGATAACATGGATCAATATGAATCCTTTTTTCTTCATGGAAACAACTCTGAGTTTGTTGAGATGAGGAAAAATGTATCATCTGAACTTTGGGCGATTTTATTTGAAAGCTCAAGTTCGATTGAACCAATTGATATGATCACCATGATTTTCCTATCAAAGTTTATCAATAAATTGGTGTTGATAAGTTCTATTGATTAGCTCAGGGCGAAAAGTTGAATAACATTGAGAATGAGAATAATGAAAAAAAATTCTGTGATTTTTTCGTTTGTTTATACTTATGTCCATGGTAAAAATTTCTTAGCCTCAGGCTAATTATTGATTCTATTTTTTTTCTCACAGTCCAAATTCTGTCTTCTTCTTGATTGTTAGTAGTACTTTAGTAGTTGTGAACAGTAGTTTCCTTTTCTCATCAATATTTCTCAACGAAATTATTTCTATTCCGAAATCAAATGATAAACTATCAATATATCGAACCTTTAGAATTTTGTTTCTTTTCGAATACAAGCCAAACGAAAAGTTCTATCACATTTTCATTTACTGATGATGAGAAAACATGGAAAATAGATTTCTCCGTTTCGATTGATAAACTAATGAATCGATAAGCTGAAAGTTATTAGATATAAGTGATGAAACTTTGATGACAATCAGATTGCATGATAAGTGAGCATAAAATTCACTTCAAATCACATGCACATAAATCAATTTCCTCAATTAAATGCTAACCAATATTGTTAATAATGCGATAAATGATTTACTGCCACTTAATTTAGACATTTAATTAGCTACAATTACACGTAAACAATTAACTTGATCAATTATCACCAGTTGGTAGCACAAGTAACGAAATGAAAAGTAACAATTTTCAAAGCGAAAAACAAGTTTGAGGCTCTTTCGTTGTAACGATCTCAAGTTCATTCAATTCAATGATTCAAATCAACATAATGAAAAAGAAGCTAAACTTATCATTACAGCTCAAGGTCGTAAATATAATCAATTCATAAAATGGTCATTCAATGGTCAATGCTTTTTCAAAATTCCATGGACTCAGTAAAAGTGAGTGAGGGAGAGAAATGAGAGAGAGATGAATGGAGATAAACCTGAAATACAATCGTTACAATAGACACACAATGATAATAACAAGGTTCTAAATGAATAGTAAACTGAATAAAATGAATTTTCTTTCATGAAGTAAATACGATAATTCAGAGTTTTGTCTGATACTTTTTTTTTCTCACTTTCGCTAAGCAGGAGAGCCGTTAAAGCCTTGCTGGTATTAACCCCACTTCTTGGCATTGCTTATATTTTACTCTTGGTAACCCCTGATTCCAATAATGCTAAAATCATCTACACTTATATTCATGCAACTCTCAATTCAACTCAGGTAAAAAGTGATTCAAATTTATTCACCACAATAATGGTCAATCCCAGTGACAGTTTCCAATATAAGTGAGCCAGAAAAAAAACCCAACTAGAGTAAAGTCAAGTTCAAAGGTGATCCCTTTTATTTGGACAATCCAATTTCAAATTGACAATAGTAACAATGGTCAAGAATTTTTCATGTAACTGAAAACCTTGATTCTCATGGATAAGAATGAAATTAGATTAGACTGGACCTTGTGGAACAAGACAATGGACAGAATAATGGAGAAAAATTTTGACCATTAACAAGTTGATTACGATACTTTGTTTAGAAAAGATATTCTTTTGAAACTGAATACCTATTGGTGGGTGTTCATTGCAACATAATCTAAATGTAGGCTATCAAGGTTATCATATTGTATTATTATCGTTAATTGTTGAGGCTCATTGGTTTTACCAATAAAAACGTTTACAATGTAGACACAAGGCGATTTCATTACAATTTAAATTGTTATTAAGGAGACTTTTATCTTTACTGATAATCACAATTTGATTAATCCATTTGGATTAACAATTGAAAGTGAACTTAATTGTGCCTAATCACAAATTGAACTGAAAATTTTATCCCAACATTGAACAATTATCAAGACCATTATCATTTTATTAATATTTACATGGAGCTTTGAAATGATTAAGGAAAGACCTTGATTAGTTAATCATACAATGTTAATAATAGAATTGAATTGATTAATTATTAATATTTTTATCTTTTTAATTGTTAATTTCCCAGGGATTCACTGTTGCTGTTTTATATTGTTTTCTTAATTCAGAGGTAAGTTAATTTACTAATTGCTGTTGCTCCTTTTGATTGCAATATGTCTTAACAATTAACTCTAATTGTTTGAATAAATTTTGTTGAACATTAATTAACTAGATCTGAAAATTATTCCAAATCTAATCAATCATCAGTAATTACCTTTTATGTATTATAACAGACTCTTAATTGTTAGTCTTAAAGGTAATAATATTAATCAATAGCCGTTCACATTTGATTATTTATCATGTTAATTTAATCAATACCCTCAGTGACTATTAATAGACTATGTTTATGATTAACATTGTTTCAAACAATTTTGTTTAATTGTAATGCAAGTTGATTGGGTTAAATTAATTGACCGGATAACAATTGATCATTAAAATATTAATAGATTGAGTTAGGATTTTACCATTGAGCTAATTTAAGATGATATTAGTGAAAAAATTAGCACTCTGATATTATTATTATATTCATGATAACCTTGAATTGTGAACTTGATTATCACACTTACATGTAACATTATATACAATATAAGATCAATTGCCTGAGGCGATTAATAGTTATATTATAACTCCTTTTACAGTATCAATATACAAGACAATGTATCAATTGAGTAGTAATTTTATCAACAATTAATAGATTGAGACACAATTAAAAAATTTGATAGTGATCGTATCGATTTGGATGAGAGTAAATTGGTTTTATTGTATTGATCAGTTTTCTGAAGTTTAATTAACTAATTGACGAGTATTCAATTTATATTATAAATTGGAATAGGAAATTGTTCTAAATTTTGTTTGGTTCTTTTTTTTCCAGGTTCGAAATTCACTTCGATATCATATTGAACGTTGGCGAAATGTACGAACACTAAGACATGGAGATTATCCACTTCCCGTTCATAGAACCTTTTCAACTCGAAGTCGAGGTCGAAAAAGTGAATATCGATTGAAATATACTTCGTCATTTAATCATCACAATCAAACTTGTTACAATTCAACCTCAAGTTATAATTCATCAAGAGAATTGTCAACTTCTCTATCACCTTTACCACCTATATCACCGATTCCTCCTACAAACGCAATCGTCCAGCCAAAATTGACCCCAAAGGTGAACGGGTTATCCAACCCTCAAAAAATAGTAAAGCCAAATCATCAACATTCATCCGTAAACAATCAACTAATTATGATAAATCAACAAGCAAACGAAATGTTTATGAAGAGTATCTTTAAGATGTAGATATCGATAGGTACTCACAAGAATTACCAACAATCAGTCAACAATTAAGCTTAATCACGACGTCAAGTGAAGACTTTTATTCCTAAATCAAAGCTATTTAATTGTACAATCAATGTAACAATTTAATCATTCTCCTTTCCTTCAACCAAACTAAATTGCTATGTGCCTGAAAATGAAGACAATTAACTTAATCAATACACTATATGACCATTTCTATCACTATTTAATTATTTAACACTACAGATTGAAACAAATTACTACGTTGATTAATATATTTAATTACATTTCCTTAAGCAAAATTATTATCTAATGTAATAAAATGATGATTACTAATCAATTTTAGATCAACAACCTTGGTCCAATTTAATTGTTATTGTTGTTGTTAGTTGATTGTTATGATTAACCATCTATACACAAATTTAAATTACTGTAATCATGTTACAAGAATTGAGAAAAAAAGTTTTTCATGATTAAGGTTAAATCAAATCACTATGTATTGATGGTTGAACAATTAACCTTGTCAATTAAATTTGATTAGTTGTAAAAATTGTGGTCAACAATTAGTTGATTGTTTCTTGAATCAGAATCTTGATTATTATTAATAATAACACAAAAAAAAACTCATCTTCATCTTAGTTAAATTAGCAAAACATTTAGATGATTAATTGATCTTAATTAATGGTTGGATCGATATTGTGGTTTGTTTATCAATTGTTACAATCAACAATTAATTATATGCTGATCAGTATCAGTGTTTGATTGCTTTTACTATCAACAATTAACATCTTAATGATATTTAAATCTTACGTTAATGATAATCAATCAAAAGATACTAATGATAAAGGTTAATTTGATTAATCAGCTGGGTGACAATTTACAAATTATCAACATTTGATTGTTTATCCTAACACAATTAACGGTAAATTGTTTAACAGTTTAATTGTAGTTAACAAATCTGTTAATTAGTAATTAACTTTTCCATGTTTATTAGATAATAATAATACTAATTCTCATCCTTGATTGTTAGAATTAAATTTAATTCAGTTTTGTCATGTAATCAATTTTTCCTCTTTTTTTTGTTGAGCTTGTTAATTGCTGGAAAGATAAAAAGTAAAAGGAAAAGTGTTTAAATTGCTTGAAGCAATTAAATTAAATTGTGAACGATTATCAACAATTAACTCGCACATCAACAAGTCAAGTTTAATTTTCAATGTTAATCAATTTGATTAACAATTTTAATTGGTAAAAATCGTTGATTATTATTAGTTTTTTTATTGTTACTAATCAATCAGATCAGCTGTGGGTTCAATGTTAATTTTGTCCGAAATTGCAATCAGTTAATTGCAATCACTGTTAATTGTAACTTCCCTTGTGCAATTAATTAAATTTTAAATACATTTTACAAAATGAAACGTTTAATTGCTTAATTGGTTTGTCTTTGTCTTTTAGTAAATTGCTTCAGGCGATTTTCAATTAAACGCTCAGGTTCAATATCGATATCAATTCAATAACTATCTGTTGAAAATTTAATTATCATATTTGGTGATTAGTTAATTGTAAAATAACCACAACCCACTGCAATGTGAACCTGAAAATTAAATTAAATCAATATCGATAAATTAATTATAGTTTTAATCTCCACCCTCGATTTTATCATTGTCTTTAATTAGTGGAAATGACAAATTGTCATAAAACTTTGAATTAGTATAAAAGGCAATTGGATCAATCAGTAAATTATCATTCAGCTTTTAACAATCAAATCAATCAGTTCAATTTACTAATTGTGTCTTAGTTTAAATCACTAATTAAAACTTAACTCAAAATGAACGCTTTCTTTGTCATCGCTTCACTCCTTGTTGCTTCAGCTTCAGCTGGTTTAGCTCCAGTCAGCTACTCATACCCTGGTGCACCCGCTTATGGACACCATGCTCCCCTTTCATATGCCCCAGCCACTTATGCTTCTGCCCCAGCTTACACTAAAGTCTTAGCCGCTCCAGCCTACGCTTCAGCTCACTATGCCGCTCCTGCTCACTACGCTGCCCCTGCTTACGCCGCTGCCCCTGTTGCCAAAGTTGCCACCGCTCCAGTTTCAACTTTCCAATTCTCCCAATACGTTCAACCAGCTCCAGCTCACTATGCTGCTGCCCCAGCTTACACTAAAGTTTTAGCTGCTCCCTCATACGCTGCACCAGCTTACACCGCTCCAGTTGCCACATACCAAAAATACATTGCCCCAGCTCCAATCCAAACTTACGCTGCTGCCCCAGCTTACACCAAAGTTGTCGCCGCTCCATCATACGCTCCAGCTCACTACGCTGCCCCGCTTATGCTCCAGCTCACTATGCTGCTCCAGCTTACACCTCAGCTCCAGTCGCCTCATACCAAAAGGTCATCTCAGGTCCAACTTACGCCGCTCCTGCTTACGCTCCATGGAAGTAAATTATAACAAAACGTTAGTAAGAATCTTTAATTAGTCAACTACCTTAATTAATGAGCTAAAAATTTTATATTAATTTCAAATGAGATTCTGAATAATTTGTTTTCTTTAATAAGTTTCGATAAATTAAAAAAATCTGCAAATTCAATTTGATTTTGCACCAAAAAAAACTAAATCCTTAATTGTTGATCCAATCATTTATTTCAACTTTAATCAGATACAATCAGCAACTTGTTAATTTCTAAATTCAATCAAACTGATCAAAAATCATATTAGTTTAATTATCGAGTTGAACAATCATCACTTTATTAAATTGTTTCACAATCCTGTCAATCTAAATCACAATCAAACATTCAGGAAAATCATGTAACTTGATATCAACTTTTAAAATTGAATTAATTATTACTGAAAATACCTTGAAGCAATTAACTTGATTGTTAACAATAATCCAACAGCAATCAAAAATCATTGGATAATAATATTAATTTTATTGATTTCTAAATAATATTTTCAATTTGAGGTAAAATTAAATCTACAAATCCAATGAGTTATTGTTTAAATTGTCAAAACTTAATTGTTACAATCTGATCAATCAACAAGTTAATCAAAATGAATCCAATGGTCATGATATTTTAGACCTTAATTGTCACAATTAATAATCGTCAATCAATCTTACTTTTACTGGATCAAGGATACGAAACTGATTAGATTTAAAAATGAAACTGGTTTCCTTTAGATTAACAATCAGTTTAATCATCAATTAATTTAGTTAAATCAATTCAATCAATGAAGTTAAAAAGCAAAATTGAAAAACTGTAATCAAATCATTTTGTTTCCAGACATAAGCTTAAATTATTGAAATTAATCATGATTAATGTGCAAATTAATGTTAGTTAACAACAATCAACGATCAATGGGCAACATGATAATCAACAATCAACAATTTATAACAAACTAAATCAATAAAATTAAAGGTTTGATTTGAGAAACAGTTTTCTTAAAGTTTATGGTCAATACTAATCACGATTGAACAAAAATTAATAAATCTAATTAATCAGAGAAATGATTAACAACACACCCAAGTAAATGCAACAATTAACTTAATCATTGTGGGCGATATGAAAGTTGATTAAGTTTAGATTATAAAGTCTGGATATTTAATTAGGATTTTATCCTTGATTTTGCAATTAAACTATTGTTTTTATTTTCTACCCGTTAATTGTGATTAAAAAACCTCAAGATGATTTGTAAATCGTAAACATGATTATCCTTAATTTGCTGATTTAATTGTTCATTTGAAAAAACGTAAACAGATTTGTTTAATTAGCTCCTAGAGGTTTAAATTATTTCCCAATCACATTGTGAATTTTAATGATGATCATCATTTAAATCGTGTAAACTTTTGATTTCAAGTTAATTGTTATCATCAAATTGATTTTGTATCAACAATTTACACAGAAAGAGTAATAAATTGATGATGAAACTGTAAGCTATTAATAAATTGTTTCTATTTTAATAACAATGATAAATAATCACGATCATCTCAATCATGATAACAATTGGTTAGTGAGAAGATGAATTAATTGCAATTAAAGTCAATGAGATGTTAATTGGTTGGGTAAGTGATTAACTCAATTGTCTTCAAGAAATTACAATTGTTGATGAGAATAAATAATCTGATGGAAAATCTAAAAAGTAATTTTTTGTTGTTTTCTATCAACGAATCTTAATATCGTTAGAATAACCTTGAAAATCGTTGGGATCGAATGATAATTTGAACGTTGTAACGAAATGACGATGATGAATAATGTGAATTGGATAAAGATGATTATGTTAATGTATTAATTGTTGCGAACACGATTATTGAGATTAATATGAAGAGAAAAGAAACAATTGTTTTGAAAGAAGAGAAGAAGAAAAAAAAGTTCTTCCAATGTTAAAGTTTCGTTCGTTCGTTAGCACCTTGAACGTCGTAGTTGATGTTGAGGTAACTTTGGGACAGTGAAAAGTGATAATGAAGACGAAGACAAGTAGGAGAGAGAAAGAGAGTGAGAAGATGATTAGTATTCTGAAAACTTGAAAGTGAGAATCGAACTGGAAAACTAAACGATCTTGAAATGTACAAAAGCAGAATCGACGAGCTTAAGGTTAAGCTTTGTTTTTCTGGGTGTGGGCAAATACAATTTCCGTAATGAAATGACCGCTACTCGGCTATCATAGTTACTACAGTTTTGCTAATAATGGTGGCGATGATTATCATGATAATAGCGATATTATTATTATCTGAATTTCAAGGAACCAGTGAAAGTCTCATTATCTTTTACGATGTACAAGGAGATATAATGATGACGGTGGTTGATGATGAGAATGATGATGATGATGATGATGATGATGGTGGTGGTGATGATGATAATGGCGATGGAGAAAAGAGAATCTAGAATGAAGCGAAAAATAGCCTTAGGGTAATCGCAAAGTGTCTCAAGGTTTTAATCGTTTTCATTATCTACGAAGGTTGAACACGATCATTTTTTTGGACCTTTTCTTTTGCACGTTCAGATAATATTAATGTTTCTCTTTTCTTATTGTAGCCACCCATTTGAAGATTAATAGTGCTGATGATGTTGGTGTTGATTCTTGTTATTTGCTTACAAATTTGATTGTTGTTGTTGATTAATATTATTGACGTTGTTTTGGACTCGCCCATCGTAAGAATTGGTTTAGTATATAAGTGGTCAGTTGGTTGGTTGAAAGTATCAGTTGTTAATCATCCAACAAACCAAACAGTTTAAAATCAAACTTTTTCTTTTCGTTTTCAACCAAAACACCAAAACCAAACCAAAACCCAAAATGAACGCTCTTTTCGTTGCCGTTTTCGCCATCCTCGCCGCTTCAGCTTCAGCTGGTTACGCTCCAGCCCTCGCTGCCCCAGTTGCCGCTTACGGATATGCCCCATACGGTCATGCTGCTTACGCTCATGCCCCAGTTGTCGCTAAAGTCGCCGCTCCAGTTGCCTACGCTCACGCTCCCGCTTACAGCTACGGTAAGTCTAAAAAACCACGATAGTTACAATAATGTGCTAAACGGATAGTCATAGTTTCAAAGTTTCGAGGACTAAAACTCGAACTCGAACTCGAAACTTTTTTTTCTGCCAACAAAACTTGACCAAAGTGAAAGTGAAAACTTTTCCAAACTCAAACTAAATCTAATTGCTAATTATTTTCTTTTCATCTACTCACAGGTTACTCAACCTACGCCGCTGCCCCAGTCGCTAAATACGCCGCCCCAATCGCCACATACGGAGCTCCAGTCTACGGCAAAGTCCTCGCCCCAGCTTACGGTGCCCCAATCTACGGTTAAACTAATCAATTCTAGTTCAGTTTTAACAACAATCAAACCAAAAACAAACCAAATCATTCAAACAGTCAAGTTAGATTTATATAAATTTAAATAGCCCAACACATAGTAATCCCATTATTATGTTAATCTTTCCTCTGGATTATCTAGAGATTAATTAGTTAATCATCCAAACAGATTATCATCAGCAATGAAATAAAATTATTTTTTATCAAAAAAAAAACAAAACTTCAAATGTCCAATTCAATTTATTAATTTTCGCGTTCAATTGTAATTAACAAGATTAATTGTGATCAATTTGAGTTAATTGTGATAATGAAATTTTAACCATCAACATGATGATGATTATTTTGATTTTGATTCTTTTTGTTTGTTGGAAGGAATTAAGAGAAAATTAATCAATTATAATACAACGTTAATCATTTGATACTTTTAGTTACTTTTTTTTAATGTCGATATAACAATTTACTAACATCGACAAAATTTAATTATTTAAATTTGTTAATAATAAACAAATTTAATACCCAATAGAGAGTTAATTAGATTTGTTTTTTGTTTCCTTAATCATTAATCAACTGTAAGTTTCTCAAATTAACCACAGACAATTAAGGATTTACCAATGGAAATTAAATCTTTTCCCTTGAAATTGTTGACATTGTAATAAGGATAAACATTAGTAGATTTTGATTGTTGCCTGAAAATTGATTGTTGATTAAGTGATTAGTTTTCTTTCAACGATTAACAGTTAAGGTACCATAGAAATTTTTTTAATTAAATCAATTTAGGTTTCAATTGATTTAATTGTGAGGGAAAAACAGAAAGAGTGAAGAAGAAAAAAAAACAAATGAATTAATCATATATTTAAATCTAATTCTCATTTTGTATTAAATCACTGTTAAGCTTATTGTTATAACTAAATCACTATTATCATCAATGACAATTAAATTTGGATGAAATGAAAATTATAAAAAAAGAAAGGGAAAAGAGAGAGAGAGAGAGAGAGAGAAAGGAAAAGGTAAAATTATCACAAACATGATCATGATCACAAAGAACTTAATCACAATTAATTAATCAAATTAGCACCTTAACAGAGGGAGAGAGAGAGAGAGAGAAGTAATTAATTATAAATGTAGGAGGTAATTAGTCAACATGAAGAGCAAAAAGATTAAATCACAATGGATATTAATTATTTAACTATTTGTACGATTGACGATTGATTAGTTGTTGATGGTAAGATGATTATTGCAAGTTGATTAGCTAATTGTTGTTGATTGGAAGCCAAAAATCATTCAGGATATAAGAGTTAATTTCCCGTTAATTATAATCAATTGTATTCCTAATCTTGTTTACGGTTTGGTGGTCATTGTCACATTAACGAATGGCAAACAAAAAGTGAAACATCATCAGGCTTAATTGTTGGTATTTGGCAATCAACTCGAATTTGTGATCATCTTCCTTCATCGAAACAATTGGACAATCCAAACATTCTTGATGTTGTTTTTTTTTTCATCGTACAGTTGAAAAGTTGAAACAATTAATTATGTTGGTTTGTTAAAAGAGTTACAATCTAGAGAAAGAGGTAAAAGAAGAAATTGATTAGTTAATTTGATCAGTTGGTTACATGATTCGATTAGAGAAAATCAATTGGATACATACGCTCTTGAACTTTTTCAGAACTTTTCTTCTTGCATCTTAGGTGACACTAGATTAACAATGTATTTTTTGATCTTATTTTGATTAATTTGTTTTCTTTGGGAAAGTGGGAATGGGTCATCATAACAATTAGAAGAGGGAAAAAGAGGTATTTTGATGATTTTTTTCGTTTTCTTTGTGTGTGTGTGTAGTTGATTGTAATCGATTGAAGTCAATAGTTTGATGAAACAATTAATAGAGTAGTTAATATATACGTTGAATTAGAAAGACACATGCAGATATAGAAGAGGGAAAAAGCATGAAAGTGATAGAGATAGAAAGAGAAGAGGAATATTGAAATTAAGAATACACAGAATGTGACGTTTTAGCTTCTTCTGCCTAAGGATACCCGTAGTGTGGACAGTTATAAGAATTGTAAAGAGAGAGAGAGAGAGAGAGAGATTAAGGAGAAAGGGAAGAAAGATGAAAAGATACTAAGCCCAATTAAAGGGTAGCAAGGGAAGAGGTGAAAAGGATTAAAGAATGGAAAGAGAAATAGGAAGAGATAATTCACAAAATGCAGTTAATTATGTTTGAGAAGTTAATTAGAAATAAGCTGTCATCAACGTTGACAATTTACATGTCAATTGTTACCAACGATAACCAGTAGATTATCAATAATATATGAGGCTCAAAAAAATTGGTTACCAGGAGAATACCAAATATCCAGGATACTAAGTTAATTGAGTATGAATATTATTGTGATTAGCGCATTAAATTGTTGTACTTTAAGACCCGTAGTGTTGTTTTTTTGTTGTTATAAATGTTGCTTGATGTTGATGGACTAGGTCCCGTTGGCAATGACAATGAAGATGACGCACATGAAGACGATTCAATACCCGTAATCGAATTTGTTGCAATAGCATTTGAGTTGTTCACTGACCATTTAAAAGGTCAATAAACGAAGTAGAAGTATTTCCTAGGGAATTACCGATTGAGTTTATAAGACAAGAAAAAAATGAGGTATATTGGATTACCCGTAGTCGTTGTTAAATATATTGTGTGTTGTGCTTTTAATTTGTTTGTTTCAAAAGTCCTGACGAGGATGATGATTGAGGTACTTTTGTCACACCCGAATTGTTGATTTACTTGTTTTTGATGTTGCTGTTACTTTGACTGTTGTTGATGATGATGATGGTTACCATTACCACTGCCAACAGTCATACCCGTAGTAGTTGTTGTTAAAGTAATAATATTTGAACAAGTCTGCGAGGTGACTTGATTACCCGTAAGAGATGATGATGAACAAGAGTTACCCGTACTTGTTGAATTGTAATGATTTGAATTAACTAAAGATGATGAGTTAGTTGCGTTGTTTATATTTTCACCACAGCCATTGGTACCACACGATTACCATTACCTCCCAAATTTGCCTCACGATTGATGAAACCAAATATTTAAAAGATGAGCTTTTATGATGTTTTGGTAAATTAAATTGTTTAATTTGAATTAACTTGAGCAATATCCAGACTATGAATTATTAACCATCACTACCCTCCATCATTACCATTACCTCCTCCTTCATAGATTGAGGCACAAATTGATGGTGTAAAGCAACTGGACGAAGATGGAGACGATGCAGAAAGATAAAATTCTGAAACTTGTGGAGGAGGATGATGATGATGATGATGATGATCAAGCTTCTTTACAATATAATATGGCTTCATTATGGATCATGAAACAGCCCATTAAGAGCGATAATGATTAGTATTGGTGTAGAAAGAGTTGTAATCATGAGGTGTGTATGTGTATATAATATTGGAAGATTGAAGAGTTCCTCAAAAGGCTGTACAAATCTTTTAGATTTGATTGCAATCAACTGATGATCCTTGTTATTGTCTTTTGTAGTTCAATCAAAAAGTTCAATGAATTGAATGAAATGATTCTGTTGGTAAAAGTTGCAATCTAAAATTTGAGAGAAAGAAGAGGAAAAAAAATGATTAGTTAATTGAATGATAAATGGAATCAAATTAACAGAAAAAAACGATATACATACACACTCGAATAACTTTTGTTCTTGCATCTCATCAGACACTAGATTAACATTGTATTTTTTTTGATTTTAGGTTGATTAACGTTATAATTAAGGGAAGGTGAGGGTTGTAACAATAAAGACATTGAGACATGTTAGAGAGACAATTAACTATTAATAATAAAAGATCTGATTCGAAAGGTTGAAAGGGTAAACATGCTAATATATATGTTTAAAGGAGGAATAGGAGGTAAAGCGTATTTTTTGTTGTTTTTGATGTATTTTTTTTCGTGTGTAGTAGTTGATTGTAATGGATTGAATTCTAGTTTGATGAAACAATTAATAGAGTAGTTAATATGTATATGTATATACGTTGATTTGAATTAGAAAGACACATGCAGATATAGAAGAGGGAAAAAGCATGATGAAAGTTGTTGATAGAAGGAAAATTAAATAGAAATTAAGAAGTTAAAAGAATGTAATTTTTTTTTTGCTTCTTCTGTCTAAGGATACCCGTAGTATGGACAGTTATTGGATGTGTGTCATTGAGAAGGACAAAGGGAGAGAGAGGAAGATGTAAGGGAAGAAGAGGAAAAAGAGATGAAATGGAAAAGCAGATAAAAGATACGCAACCCAAATAAAGGGTAACAATTAAGAGAGGTAATAGGGATAGATGAGAGAAAAAGAGAAAAAAGAAATAGAGGGGAAAGAGAGAGAGAGAGAGGAGAGGGTAAAAGGGAGAAAAGGATGAGAAGAGATAATTTTGAGAAGATAATTAGAAATAAGTTGTCATCAACGTTGACAAATTTGAAGTCGATTGTTGCCAAAATCAACGATAACCAGGATATTATCGATAACATGAAGACCTGAAGGTCGGTCACAGTTTAAATCTTGTCCAAGATACTCGAAAGATTGAGTGAAAAGATTGTAGATACAGATCCGATTGTTGCGAGAATCAGCACAGAAAATAGAGTTACCCAAGATCGAAATCCCTTGTGGTCGTAAGAATTCACCCCAACCAGTTCCTTCGCCGAAACCAATTACTTTAGATGCATCCTCTTTAGATGGGAATTTGTCGAAAATTAGAAGCCTGTGTTTGTTAAAATCAGAAACAACGATCCGATTGTCACCAAGGAAGGAAACACCTCGTGGTGAATCCAAGGGATGTGAAAAATGGGTTATATATTGTCCGTATGGTGTAAATAATTGGACCCGTCGATTTCGTGTATCACTGACCAAAATTTGATGAGTATGGGAACAAGAGTCTACATCCCATGGATAACAGAATTGTCCGGCTCGATTTCCCTTTTCACCAAATTTAAATTGATATCTTCCTGAAAGGTCAAACACTTGAATCCTATGGTTATCCTTATCGGCAACAATTATATGATTTAAACTTGTATTAATTGTTATACCCGCAGGCCGATCAAAAAGTCCAGCTCTAGTCCCTGGACCCGAACCAAAGACTTGAATAACTTTGATACTCATTGAACCAGCATCAAAGTGTAATAATTGAATACGATTGTTACTACGATCAGCGACCGCAATCAGATAATGTTTATTATGATTTTTGCTAATTGTTGTACTTTTAGACCCGTTTCGATTGGTGTTGGGACCAGGTCCCGTTGAAGATGATAATGAAGATGATGCACATGAAGACGATTCAATACCCGTAATCGAATTTGTTGCAGTAACATTTGAGTTGTTTGTTGACATTGAGAGGCCAACAATAGAAGTAGAAGTATTTCCAAGGGAATTACCGATTGAGTTATCAGACGAGAAAAATGAGGTATATGAGTTACCAGTAGTCGATTGACCAGACAATGAATTGTTGGTCTGTAAATGTTGTGTTGTGCTTTGATTAGTTGATTGTAAATGTCCTGAAGATAATGATTGAGGTATTTTGTCACACCCGAATTGTTGATTTACTTGTTTTTGTTGTTGCTGTGACTGTTGTTGATGGTTACCATTACCACTGCCAACAGTCATACCCGTAGTAGTTGTTGTTAAAGTAATAATATTTGAACAAGTCTGCGAGGTGACTTGATTACCCGTAAGAGATGATGATGAACAAGAGTTACCCGTACTTGTTGAATTGTAATGATTTGAATTAATTGAAGATGATGAGTTAGTTGCGTTGTTTATATTTTCACCACAGCCATTGGTACCAATACCACCACCACCACCACCATTATTAATAATGGAACTTGTAGCCAAATATTGAGGAGTCAACATAAATGGAGGCATTCGTACAATAGCAACACCCCATGGTCGACACAATTGACCAATTGCATTACCCTCTGAGCCAAAGGTTAAACCTAAACGCCATCTAGATCGTTGCTCTAATTGCACCGGTACATGGAAAGGGGATTCATTTAAAGGTATACAATTAACCAATACTGTAATAATCAATTCACTTGGTAATGTTCGTGATTGTGGTACTAAATAGGTTACAGTGTATTTTCCGTTATTATGATCCAGTAAAGTGTAAGGTATGTTTAAAGTTGATGATTGGGATGATCCTAAATGTTGATTATGATTATTTGAATTAGATGAATTTGAGCCTATGTCCAATCCAAGTATATCTTTAACCACATCTTTAACACCATGACAATTACCACCATTACCACCATTACCATTACCATTACCTGCTCCATAAATTGAGGCACAAATTAATGGGGATAAAGAACCGGACGAAGATGGAGACGATGCAGAAGATGAATTCTGAGTTGTGGAGGAGGAAGATGAATTGAATGATGGTACAATTTTAACAAAAATATTTTCCCGGCCAACTAGTAATTCTTCATTGAAACAATTACGTGTAACAATAGTGAAATTATTATTCAAACCGGGAACCGCTACTTCAAGACCATCACCGGTAGCAGAACAGCAAGGTGCAAACGCTGGAGTTGTTAGAAACCCTAAAGATGATACTGCCTTTAAAAGAGCTGAATCTGGTTTATTAAAGGTAACACTTGGTATTGGCAATGAATGACCACCAATCTCCGAGTTTGAATCATAACATGGTCGACTTTGATTGAATCCAATTCGCCGGTGTCCATTATTAGAATTGGTATTACCATTATTGCTGGAATTAAAACCTCCGCCAAGTCCATTTCCTTCAATATTGTGGCTACCTGATGAACAGGAAGATCCCGTTGATGGTGATGATGGTGATGACTGTTGTTGTTGTTGTTGTTGTTTAAAGAGCTGTAAATAGATTCTTTTTACATTCTCTAATTGCTGGAGAAGCTGTTCCCGGCGAATTTGTAGGCCACTCATGTGTAACTGGATGGTCGAATGAATCTCGTTGGCTATCTTGGCTATTTGAGATTCAAATTCATCTTCATGGATTCGTGGTGAGTCAACAATGGAGGAAGAAGATGATGATGAGGCATAATGACTGGAAAGGGTTCCACGGCGAGATGTTGCTACATTAACAGCATTAGAATGACAAATGCTGGTCCCTGGTTCAATATCGTAAAGGCAGTTACCATTTCCTTTAACCAGAGGCGGGAATAGATATGATGACTTATTGTTACCATTAAGATTTAATGAAATCGATGAAGCAAGGTCATTTCGTTGAATGTGGTGGTGATTTAAGGTAACATTATCAAAACAAGAGGCTACTGTTGATGAAGAAGAGGTAGTATTGGAAGTATTTGTATTGATACATGGCTCTAAGCCTTTAGAAAGAGAGGTAGATGTGGATAACAATGAATTGTAAGAGCTATCAGATAATGGTGAAAACAGATCATTGGTACTCCATAATCCATCACAGTTTAGTTTAGACTCGGTTAATCCTTTACGAGACAATAATGAAGAACCAATATTATACGAATCAATTGAACAATTTGTTTTACTACCGGGTGCTTGAAAGCTACTACCATCATTTCGTAATGGACATGGATTACCGTGGAAACCACGAGAGTTATTTATACTGTTAATATTATTACTATTACTATTAATATTATTTAGATTATTATTATTAATCATGTTGTTGTTGTTGTTGTTATTGTTGTTGTTAACATTATTATTGGTAGAGGTGGTGGTTGAATTAATATTATTTCCTGTAGGCCATGGTCCAAGTAGATCATTAACATCCCAATTATGAGTTGATGGACTATTTCGCTGTGATAATGAGACAATACCACCAATACTTTTAGAAATTTCATCTTCAGTTGAGGTTCCAAATAATTTGAAAAATTGTGAGCCGCTTGATGAGCCATCAATTGTTTCCATTATTGGATAAGATGAACCACAATAATATTAAATAATAATAATAATAATAATTAAATCAACTGGTAATATATGTAAATATATATACTATATATAAACACGGAACAGAAAAAAAAAACTTCACTTATAGCACCAACTAAAACAACTTACAAAGAGACAAAGAGAAAGAGAGAAAGAAGGGTTTTTACTTTAAATTGGTCTAACAAGAGATATAATATTTATATTTATATAAAAAAAAGAATTAATTATTTAGATTAATTTAGAAAAAAAAGAAGAAGAAAAAAAAACGGAGACATAAAGGAAAAGGTGACTTGGGTTGACTGACTGAAGACCAGGTAACAACATCAACTTCTCATTGAGACTGTGTTCGGTTCGAGGGACAATTTATACATTGCGTCTGTTTCATTTTCTTTTTTCTGATTGGACACAATTTTTGTTTCTCCATTTTATTTTTTTCTTGTTCTTGTTAATTTAAATTTCCAATTGGGAATTAACATTCCAATCATTGTTTCTTCTTGTAATCATTGGGACAATTTAAGTTAATTGGTGACTTAAAATGTCAACAATTAACAATAATTTCTCACATTAACCAGTAACAATCTTGATTTGGAGAAAAGAATTTTTTTTTTCTTCTATTCTCTTTTTTTTCCTTTGTGATTTTCTCTCCTTGTGTTTACCTTTTCAATTTTTTTCTTTTTCATTTTTTTGTTATTCTCTTCTTCTTTTCTTGATTACCTGTGTGATTTTTTCATTCTTCAAATCCGTTGATTGATTTTGGTTAATCATTTTTTATTCTCTCTGGGTTACAGTTTGGTTTTGGTATATGTGCTTCTTGTTAATCTTTTTTTCTGTTTGTAATTGGGTTAAAATTGTGATTGGAAATGTTTATCTCGCTTTTCATGATTAACCTTGTGATCCTCTCGTTTGGTTTAAATTGACCATTGAAAATTTAACGAAAAAATTTAAATTAGGAATCAAATTGATTGAGTCATTTATTGGATTTATTATTGAAAATTGTTTTTACATTGGAAATAATATGATCACTTGTTAAATGTGAAAGACAATCGGTTTTGATCATTGAATTTTGTGTTATTTACCTGATGAAATTAATTAATTTATAAACAAAACCTTTTCATCAAGTTTATAATCTTTACATGATTAAGTTAATTAATTAATTTCCTTTCTTTTCTCCAATCACCAATTATAGATTTAAACTGGTTAACAAAGAAAGACAAAAAAAAAACAAATGGACTATTGTTGAATATTTGATTAAGTTTAATCCAAGTTGCTAATCCGAATCAATTACCAACACTATTACCATCATCCAAGTCTCGCTTGATATTAGCTAGAGAAATAGGAGAGAAAGAGAAAGAAAAAAATTTAATAATAACCAACAATTAAATTTTTCTATTATATATTTTCACAGGATAGAATTGCTGACCAGACAAATATCACTTTTCCAACATGATGTCCACCTTTGCTTGACCAAATAACCATTACCTGTCACTTTCTCATCACCTTCTTGTCTCATCCTCATCCTTACTCTCTCTCTCTCTCTCTCTTTCTCTCTCTCTCTCTCACACACTCTCTTTCTCTTTCTCTTTAAATTTTTAATCATTTCCCAATGTTGACAATCTCAGCATTTTCCCTTTCCACTGATATTACCTTTCCCAATTCTCATTTAATTACAACTTGACGTTGATTCATTTAATCACCATCATCAAAATCAACAAAAAGTAACAATTCACATCATGAATTACAAATTTGTTGACACTTTTTCATCATCATCAAAAGATGAGCTATAAAGATTTGCAAAAGTTTTTCCTTTTTATCACTTTAATATTTCATCTCTCTCATCATCATCATCATCATCATGTGTCAACATCGTTATCTACTTTAATAATTATCATTATTAAAGATGAAACACTTAACTGGACTGAATGAAGGTTAAATTGTTTCACGTTGAAACAATTCAACTTATCAACAATCATCATGTTAATCATTTACTGTGAATCCTTTAAATTAGCTTGCAACATGAAACAATAATTAACAGGATCTTAAGGATTTGTGACAAACAAAAAATGAACATTTAAATTGTCACAATTATTGTTACAATTAAAAGGTTAACAATTAACTTACCTTTATAAGTAACATAACCTTTATTACCACAAAGACGTTTCTTATTAAATTCATGATTTCCTTTCATTGATTGACTGGTTATCTGAAATTATTAATGAATCAATTGGTAATATTTTTTATGGTTAATTAATATGAATGAAGGAAAAGTTGCTTAATCTTTTCAAATGAATAATCAGTTAATTGTGATCAATGTGAAACAATATTCCCATTTATATACACATATTGTTATTCATTTGTAAAGGTTAATAAAATTTATCTTTACCTCATCAAGAGTTGTATTGAATTCCCTGAGTATATTTGTCCGGACACATCGATAATTTGTCGACTGAATTGGTCTATAATTATCACCATAACCATCAATAATCAGGGAATTACGGATTAATGAGAGTTGATTATTTGTTGCATAAAGAGGTTTATTCAATACAATCCACTGAACTGTCTCATGACAGGGTGGCTCAGTCAGGGAACCCTCATAGGTGATATAATGTTCCAGTGTTGGTAATAATTTATGAATATCAACTGATTCCAATTTATGTGATGTACCTTGAAAATATAATCATTTATATGGTTAATGGTTAATAATCAAGTTAATCTGTTAATCAAAGCCGAAAATTGATTTACACTGATCAACACAATCAACTGATTGTTGAAACGTTCGTTGCTCTCTCATTTGTTTTTGCTACTTTTTACTAATTGTTGGTGATCTTTGATTAGATGATTTTGTCTTTCGATTACAATTTGTTCAATTACATATACATGTATATTATACCTTTGATTGATTCAATTCTATTAGTTAATTGTAATCAAATAGTTTTCCATTATAAATGAATGTGCTCAGAATGTGAATGCTTTTTCATTGATAACCTTTAATTATCTCATAATCCGATATCTCTATTAATTGTGATGAGCATAATTGACGATTAAAGCCTTTTTATCCAACCTCAAGTTAATCATAATTCACCAGATGATGATGATGATGATAAGTTAACAAATCATCTCTCTCATCCTGATGATTATCATCATAATCACCATCATTATCCTCATCATTATTTTCATTCACATTGAAAGCGTAACCAATATTTCATATTGGCAATAATATAAAAACTAATAATAAGCCTATGAAGATGATGATGAAGATAAAGATGAAGATGAAGATGGAGATGATGATGATGATCAGGTTGACCAAATTGATTAACTTGCTCTTACTTTTGCTTACAAAAAGTATAATCTTTTCATTCCGATCTGATATTGCTGTTGATTGTTATATTATCAACAAAGATTTAAGAGAAAGAGAGAAGATGATGATGATGATGATGATGATAAAGAAGATGATGATAATGGGGGTGGAAGACTAACCTTTATATCCTATTGAATGGACATTGAATAACCAAAAGCCAAAAGCATTAAGTAAAAGAATCAACCAATGGATAACTTAATCGACTGTAAATGAACAATTCTGATGGATAACAAAAGGCAAAATCCTTGACTAACTTTAAGTAGTTCCATTGATTGTTATTAACTTAATCATCATTGTCTAATTCATTTTCACTTATCATCATTATTATCATCTCATAATCTTCGTGGGTCTAATCAATTTTGCTAATTTTAACATTGACCATAGTAAGAGAATGATACAATTTACCAATTGATTGGCCTTTTATTTGAAGGGTCAATTTTTGGCATCGGAAATGTATTAATATGTAATGTTAATTTTGTCTAATTACCTTCCAATTTAATGTGTTCAATTGATTTAACGATTGAATTTAAAGCGATCGCAGTTGATTCCTCTTCCGGTGTTGCTGCGATGTGGATTAGAACTGCAATCACTGCTAATCCGTTTGATTCTTGAGCGGCTTGAGTCCAATTGTGATAAAGTTGCGAATTATAAAAGTATAACTGAAGTTCACCCGGAAATGCAATCCCGTTAATCTTATGTTCCGATCCACGATCGACCTCAGTACCATAGTGTAAAATCATATGATTAATTGAATATTGATATGATAAAGGTCCGGAGGTAATTGTTACCGATGAATTACCAATGACACTTAATTGTAATCCTCTTCCAGTGTTAATCAAGTTACCATGAATCTTTAATGAATCAACATCAACATTTTCAATTATTCATTAGTAACAATCAATTTCAATTGGCATTAAATTTATCACAATGGTTAATTTTTTACAGTTAATAGTTGATTTTAATAACCAATTGATTTATGGATTTTTCTTGTCAACTTTTATATTGTCAAGTTAATTGTTCTCATAATCGTCTATCTAATGGCACATTATATAAACTTAATTGTTGACAATTTGCTATTGTTATTGCCTATTTGTCTTAGATAAATGTATCATCATCTTTTTCAGTTAAATTGTTGCAATTTATTGATAAACTTTAATCACTTACAGTGTCTTTAATTTTATTCATTTGAATTGGTTCTAATCCAGGATCAAATAAAAGCGAATCTGGATTAATATCAATTGGTGATTGTTTCCTTCCCTTTGAACAATGTGACCATTTAGGATTTATAATACCCCAATAATCTGGACCTGGAAGACAACAATTAGTTAATTGTGAGTTAGGAAAGAAAAGCTGATCCAATCGATTCTCCATTAAATTTAAAGTTCAGTTTAGAAACGATAAATGTTCAATCGTAACAATTTTCATGAGAGATTATTAGAAAAAGAAAAAGTTTGTCAAACTTTGTGAGAAAAAAAAGTTTTCCAACTTCAACTTGAACTCGAAAATTTTAAAGTTCTAAATTTAAGATTCGATTATCATCTAATTGGTTGATTCATCTTACCTGAGATACCATCATAAGCCCACCATTGATCCCAAGAACTAGTTGCTAATGATGAAGTTAATTGTGAACTGATTAACAATAGTAAAGTTAATTGTGATAATAAAAAGTTGCAACTGTTTTTTGTATTAACTGGTAAGATTTTCATAGTAAATTAATAATCAATCCAATCAATTGAAAGGGACGATTAAATTTTCACAATTAAAGTTGATTAAGACACACATTCAGTTGAGATTTAGTTGAGAAAATCATCTAGCAATTTAGATGAATTACAATCAATCAGAATCAATGGTTAACCAATCAAGTAATTAAATCATTTTGACACAAGAGGCGAAGGAAAAAAAATCCCAGAAAAAAATTGAGTCAGAAAAAGGAAACTTAATCCAAATGATTAAAGATTAAACAAGAATTTAGATAATCCAATGGAAGGGAATTAACTTTCTCATATTAATCCTTGGCACTTAAACACCATCAAAATGGAATCAATTATTTCGGTGATTAGTTAATTGTTGCAAAATTAAAGGTGAAAATAATTAGAGAGAAAAAGTTTCATCTTAACATTTTGTTCACCTTTTATTCAATGAGATAATAAGCCTTATATACTTAACCTTTTATACTTTAAGGGAAGATAAATGTACATAGATAGATGTGAATGTTATTCTTGAGCATTCTCATTCTCTCCCTGAATACCCTCCATGAACATCTATAGGATAACAAGAAATTGAATGCATACCCTGTAAGAATAATAGTAATCACTGTTCCCATTGAATACCATTGATACTTGAGGAATGGTGAGTTCACCTTAGATTGAAACTTTTTTTCTGCTTATCGAAGTAATTTTCAATTTCGATATATATTATATTGATATTATCAATCAAAGAAAATGTTAACACTGAGAAATGAACAACAAAAAACTCATGACATTTTCAGTTATCTCTAAATGTATTACTAGAATCGTTCTGATATTTCTAGAGACAAACGGATAATATTATGATAAAGGAAAGTTCTGATTAGTATTCAGAGATTATGATTAAAAGTGAAAGATTGAACTGATTGATTTCTCATGATTCAGAATTGATGATTAACTTTTTTTCTGGTGAGTTTTCAGTGAGTTTAAAATCAATTCTTTGAATTTGTAGTTACTTTTTATTCACTTGAATTTTTACCATGGAAAGGAAACTTAAATCGGAATAAGATGAAGAGGAGAGATTCTGTTCACCATGAAAATATTATTTCTGAATAAAAGTATAAACTAGAAAAAGAATTGAATCCAATGTGTTGAGAAGATTAACCTTGGGTGTGTATTTGATTCTCTCTCTCTCTCTCTCTCTCTCTCTCCTTTTTCTTTGTCTCTATCGAGCCATGAAATCGACCGGAATATCTGTTGATAATATGAACTTATGGACAGAAAATCTGAGGACAAAATTATCACCATGATTCAACCTTTTCTCCCCTGAAATTCAAACATTCTCTCCATCTTTTCCTCTTCAACATTTTTCGTCCCATCGATGAGTAATTGCTCGGAAGGTTATATTAAATGAACTCATAGGTTACTGGTGAAAAAAAAAGAAAAACAATATTTCTCAGATTATCATCAATTCAACTGAGGATATTCTGAATCCTCAGTTCCTGAAATATCAATCAGAAAGTTTATCAAGATCACTGAACTTTTTTCTTTTCACTCTTTCCATCAACTTTCATCTTAAATTAATCTCACAAGTTTTACTTTTTCATTTCTACTCTGATATTATTATTAATTTATGGATAACTAATCATGAATTAATCATTTGAATCAAATGAAACGTTGATGAGACTCATCATGGTTACGAATTTTTTTATATACATATAAGGTGGGACAGCAGCAGCAACAGTAACAGCTAGAAATTCAGCAATGGAAACGATTAGTTTAATTTTCCAAATATGAATTCCAAATTAATTCACTTCCTTGGAAATAAACCAAATCGATTCCTGAAATTAAATTAATTAACTAAATCAACTTGATTTAAAATTAAAACAAATTAACTTTATTAAATTAAATTAAAATCAAACATAATTATTAAATTGAACCTTCACCATCAAAAGCTAATGATTGATTGATCTTGTTGTTGTTGTTGTTGTTTACCATCATCATCAACAATGAAAAAAATTAATAAAAATGATTATTGTTGTAAATCAACAATCAACAATTAAATCAAATGTTGTTTTCAAAAACAACCGCAACAATGAGCGACATCAAAATTTACAACAATTAATTATTTACCAAAATTAAATGTAGGGGAAAAGTAGGAGGCAGAGAAAAAGAAAAATGAAGAAAAAGAAAGAGAAATGAAAGAGAAAAAGAAAGAGAAATTAAATCAAGGGAAAGAGAAAAAGAAAGAGAAATTAGAATCCCTTTGATTTTCTTTCTCTCATCTCTTCATTACATTACACCCCCACCCTTATGATTAAACAAAGGGAGATGGAGAGATGATTCATGGTGGTTCAGGGTTTCTCTTCAGCTTGGTGATCGGAATAAGGTGCTTTGAATGAACCTGTTCAATTCTGAGAGGTGATTCCGATATGGCAATGTTGTAAATGTTATCAGCAATTTTTCCAGCGACTCTGTATGGTCCACAGCTATTTGGATCTAATTTCCTCTTATTGATCCCAGCAAGATTTTTAACGTACACGATTTCGTTATCAGCGAATTTATAATCATCGTGTTTATGATTAAAAAGGTCAGCATTAGCTTGATGATTATCCAAAGAATTTCTGAGAGCTTGAATTCGAGCCTCATCTAATTCAGGAAATTGAATATCATCACAATTTTCGGGTTTACTTCCATTAAACAGGTAAAATGGAGTAAATTTGGTAACAGCGTGAGGAGTATGATTGTACTCAAAGATCGTACGTTGTAAGTACTTGACCCAGCCATATCGATAGTTGTTGGAGATCATCTTGATTCTGATCCTATAGATTATTGTGTTTCCAACACGCTCACAAAGTACATTACTTTGGGGTGATGATTTGGGAATGAAAGTGATATTAATCTTCATCCGGTCCAAATATTCAGCGAATTCATTTGATGTTATAGCAGTGTATTTATCAGCTAGCAAGGTATCAGGTTTACCATCAGCGATCACTTTATTAATCAGTGATATAAATTCAGCAGCAGTTTGGTGATTTGAGGCAATAGCCCAGACAAATCTAGTGAAATGGTCAACAGCAAAATGGATGTAGCGTTTCTTGGATCCATATCGATCCAGCCCACAGATAGTATCGATAGCAATTATTTGGAATGGTCGTTCAGCAGGACCAAAGTGTCCCATTTCAGCAATTAGTTTCGACCTTCTTGTTTTACCCAATTGACATGGATTACAGCTTTTAACAAAATTAATCACATCCTCGGTTAATTTCGTCCATGTGTATTTCCAGCTAATGATGGTTATCATTTTCCTAATACCAACATGACCAAATTGTTGGTGAACAGCTTCCATCAGTTTATACCTTAAGGACAAAGGTAAAATTATCTTCCTGTTTCCATTTCTGTCAGTTTTATAACAGATTCCGGTTTCATCAGCAAGTTTTGAATCAATGTCATTGATTTTGGATTGTTCAGCTTTTATTTCTTCAGCAGTGATGAAATTCACCAATTTGAATGGATAATCCACCGAATCAGCAGCAACAGGATCTCTTGAGAGATAATCAGCTTCCACGTTCTCTTTACCAGGACGATACTTGACCTCAAAGTCATATTGAGAGAGGAAGAATGACCAGGTAAATAACCGACTATTTGGCTCTTTAATCTTGTGAATTGCCTTAAGAGCAATATGATCTGTGATGACGGTAAACTTGCGATCATATAAATAGTGGTGCCAGAACTTAACAGCTTCAACAATAGCGAGACACTCGAGATGAGTAACAGGATAGTTAACTTGATGAACTGTTAACTTTTTGGAAAAGTATCCAATCGGGTGCAGCTTATTGTTCTCATCCGGTTGTTTCAAGACAGCACCTAGACCAATACGACTAGCATCGGTTTCCAGGATCAGCACAGCATTTGGGTTAAACATTTTTAGCACTGGATCAGAGGTGAACAAGGTTTTAATTTGGTCAAATGATCCTTGACAATCAGCAGTCCAATTGAACTTTGTATCCTTTTTCAGCAGATGATGAATTGGGTCCAGAATCTTTGTAATGTTTTTGATGAATTTCCGGTTATAATTTACCTTGCCCAAGAATCGTCGAACTTCTGATACATTTTTGGGTGGTTTGAGATTCAGAATTGAATCAATGTTCGAATGAAGAGGCTTGATCGAATCTTGAGATAAATGATGACCAAGATAATTCACATTAGTCTGGAACAATTTTGATTTTTCAAAGTTCAATTTTATGTTTTCAGCAGCAACAGCAGAGAAAAGTTGAGAGAGATGGTCAAGATGAATTTGGAGAGATGGAGAGAAAACAATAATGTCATCAATATAATTGTGACAAAATCCAGTCAATTGATGTTTCTCCAGGATGTTACGGATTGACCTTTGAAAGATGGCAGGAGCGTTTTTCAATCCAAACGGCATAACCAGCCATTCATAATGACCATGTTGAGTGACAAAGGCGGTCTTATGAATGTCCTTCTCTCTGACTTTAACGTGCCAAAATCCGGACCTAATATCGAAGACACTAAAGAACTTACTCCCGTAGAGGGAATCAATAATGTCCTCAATCCTTGGCATCGGATATTTATCAGCGAGCATCTTATCGTTGAGTTTACGATAGTCGATGCAGAAGCGGGTTTTATCGTTGTCTTCCCTCTTGAAGGCCAACGTAACAGGTGAAGCATAAGATGAGTGAGATGGACGGATCAACTTTGCTTCCAGCAGAGATTTAACTTCAGCGACAATTCGATCTTCACGTAAAGTACGATAAGGTTTCGAATTGATGGGAATTTCAGTATCCAATTCAACGATACATTCGACATCCTTTAATTGACCCATGTCGAATTTCCCTTCAGCAAATACCCCTTTGTATTTTGTCAGCAGCTTCAGCATAGCGGGATTGATACTATCAGCATGTACCTGATCAGCAGCAACTAATTTGGTTTTTAGGTCCAAATAAAAGTTATCATTCAGCTTCAGCGGTAGAGGAATCAGTTTGATGGTTGTTGGTTCAACAGGAGCAGCAAGAGTTTGTTTGATTTGGTAATCAGCATGATGAGATTGAATGCAGAAATCCAATATTTGTCCTCAAACTAATTGTATCGGAAACCAGCTGATTCGAAGAGCTTGATCAAAGTCTTCGATTGTAACATTCGTTTTCAAACCAATAAAGGTTTTCAATCGAGGTCGATAAATTTGTTTCGGGTAGTAGTGTTGATCAGCTGGAGATGAGATGGGTTCATCTTGAGTGAAAGAGGTTTGATTACCTTGATAGTATTGATCATCAGCCATGTTTACTAATAATCCAATCTGTTTACCTTCAATTAATCTACTGATTCCTTTAATAATCAAAAGTAACCAGTAGAGAAAATCCAGTAAACAGAAATGAACAAAAGTAACCATATCAGCAAAAGATTATCACCGACAGAT